AAGAAACTTGATTGGAATCAGCCAGCCATTTCTTCCTTGAATATCGTGTGCATCACATCACAACCCATTCATCCAGTCCCGCGGGGACTGATGTGATGAGCCCCTAGACGGGTGGGTTGGTTGGGGGCGGGCCTTTGTCAGAGACCCTAGTGGGGTTGTTGACATGGGAAGATGCAGAGATAGGAAAAAAAACTATTCTATTGTTGTCCCAAGAGCCAGGTATATTTAACAAGGTCATTGCTGTTGAAAGTCATGGAGAGAGAAACCTCAGAGGCAATGTCATCCTCCTGGGGTCACTTCTGAATTTATTGACCTTATTTAACTTTACCTTTTAAAGTGGGGTCAGGGGAGCCCTGTGCATTAGTGAAATATTTAGAACCTCTCTTTTTGAGGAAAATACTCTCTATTTGCATGAAGTGACACTGGAAGGTTTAGAAGACACTGAGATAGTGGTGACTTCTAGGGAGAGGGATAGAGGATCTGGGTAGACTGGGGAGCAGTGGGAATGAAGTTTCTGAATGATACCTCTTAGTATTGTGTTGCCTTTTGAATCACCGGAATTTAAAATATATTTTTAAAAGTAAAAATACATTTTAAAAAACTTTCCCAGAGAGGAGCTATAAACTTCAGACTTTTTTTTTTTTTTTTTACTCCAAACTGTTATCATATGGGTAGCTTGCTTTTTAGGAAGAGGGGCTGTATTATGTAAAGGTTTGCTTTGGCACTAGGGGTACCCATGATTCCTAGCTGAGCCACAGCGTAGGCACATCTGCCAGTCTAGTTATTAGAAAATTACAGGACCCTGGGGCGCCCGGGTGGCGTAGTTGGTTAAGCGTCCGACTTTCGCTCGGGTCATGATCTCGCGGTTCGTGGGTTCGAGCCCCGCATCGGGCTCTGTGCTGACTGCCAGCTCAGAGCCTGGAGCCTGTTTCAGTCTGTGACTCCCTCTCTCTCTCTGACCCTCCCCTGCTCACGCTGTCTCTCTCTCTCTCTCCTAGAAATAAATAAAACATTAAAAAAAAAAAAAAGAAAGAAAATTACAGGACCCAAAACCTAACGTGGCAAGTAAGGAATCCTAAGCAAGAAGATTGGATCGCCTACAAAGAACTATAGCACGTGGATAATGTAGTAGCAACAACTAATGAAAGATAACAAGCTTGCTTCCTCCAAAGTGTGGGCATTGTGGCCATCGACAGTTATGCACACACAGCAGGAGCTCTGCAAGTCGCCACATGTCGCATGGATGACGGGATCCAGGATACAAAGCACAGTAGAGGTATTCTAGCCACACAGTAATTTTGGTTCACAAATTCCAAATCCCATCATCTTTAATGATTCACGTGATACGTTACTGGTAAGAAGTGATGAGTTCTCCATAAACGATGGCTGAGGAATTGTGTGGCGTTCACTCAAAGACGCACAGAAGGAAGGACTCACATGCTTGGAGAGTGGTTTGCACCCAGCAGAGAATTCTTGCACCCCACCAGCGGCCTTCCAGTCCACTTTGAAAATGACTGTGTTAGAATTCCCGGAGTGCCAAAGTCATAAAGATTTTGTATTCTGATGGAAAAGACCACTCATCCAAAGCATGCCTGTTCCCGGTAGGAAGTAACTCTTCAGATGAGGAAGGTCCTTCTGACAGATCAGCTTTGACATCTAGGACAACTTTTCCAGAAAGAACTTGCTATATGAGCCAGCTGCAAATGTGAGGAAAATCTTTTCCCAAGAGGGTTATAAGAGCTGATAAGTATTGAGCAGCTCCACCCCTTCCTTCCACTGAACCACAGCTAGGTTTCCCATGGAGAGGATGTTGGAGTTTTGAAGGCAATGGCTTTGGACTCCCTTGCTTCTCTATGCTCTGGTCCCCTTGACTCTCTTGTATTAGGATCTTCCCAGCATCTTCTCTGTTTGTCCTTTCTCTCTACACTCGTCCTTTGGACTTGGAGACCCTCTTGGGCTTCTCCAGCTTTGACTATCTCATGCTATTCGTTTGGCACTGACGTCCCACTTCCTGCGTCTGTACATTACGGACAACCTATCATCTGACCCCCTTTCACTTCTCTCCCAGCTCCAGTGGACAAGAGGCGAGGTGGGATGTACTAAAACAAAATCTTTGAAGCTCTTGAATTCAGACGCCTCTGCTTCTCAGCCTGCTGCAAACAACAGTCATGTATGCTTAGGGACAAATCTATGTTGAGCCATGTGGTATGGATCTGTACTTTCTGGGAACTGAGAATATGCATGCGTTAGGGCTGACAATCACCTAACTATCTCCCTGTCACTTGGTGCAGCCATTGTCCCACTGCCCTGACCACCTAGACTCCTTCCCTAGAACTCCCTGGACCTCCCTCTAATCCTGGAACTTCAGGGGCACTGCCTGGCCAACAGAGGGTGGACATAGGGGTCAGACCCTGGCTGGGTACCCTGGCCGATGACCATTCTGATTAGTCAATACCCGAGCCATACTAGTTGCTATATATCTTAAATATCAGCCCTGTGCAAGTGAGCCATGGGCAGGATTTCAATATTAAAAAATGAAAACGAAAAAAAAAAAAAAGTCAATGAAGTGAATGCTGTGTCAGGTTCTCCCAGCCAGCAGCCCCTTCTCCTTAAGGCTGCCCCAGAGGCGTGAGGGTTTTGTTTGCAACAAGCAGATGATTTAGTAAATATTACTTTTGCCAAATCTCCAGCGGTCCTTGAATGTTAGGCGCTAATAAAGCCCATGTTATTATTAGCCATGGGGCCTATGTAGGTCATCGCCAAACACTGGCATGATGGAAAGCAAATCAAAGCAAAGAAAATGAGCTAAGCCTAGAGAGAAGGCGGGTGGGGTATGGTGACCCCTTCTCCAAGCAGGAAACATGCCTGAAATCTCTACTGTCTTAGGAGCCCTTGGTTTCCCCACCTGTACCATGAGAGTCATATGAACAACCCCCTTCACCAGTCTCTTGGGAGACTGGACCAGAAACAGGCGTCTTCAGCAGAGAGTGACGGATCCTACCAGAGAAGAGACTGGGAGATTCAGCCTCATCCTGTGGCCGTAGACTTTCAGTCACCGCCTCGTCGGTGCAGTGTTTGGCTCTTGCTTTACCTAGTGGGCCCCCGAGCAGGAATGTGACCGTGAGTGCAAGCAGGAAATAGCTCCAGGAACCCAAGCTCTGAACTGAAGGAAATAGCAGCTGTGTGCTTCTGATTCTGCTTCGACACAGACTTTTTTCAGATGCTCACAGGAAGATGACTTGTGTCAAGCTCTCAACCATTTGGACAAGGTTCAGGATTGTTCTTTAGGGAGACCTCTTCCTGAGCAATGAGGAACACACGCGTTTCCCATGCATCCTGTTGGGCGGTGACGTGCCCTTCCTTCCCAAGGTGCTCTAAGCTGGATGGGTGTCCGTGCAGGCAGGAGAGGCAGCTGGGTGGCCTGGGGCTGGGCCCGTGGGGCGGGGGAGGGCAGACGGATTGGGGGATCGGGGGTTCCGGGAATACTGCTGGATCCTGGATTGAGTGAGATGCTCCCAGGGCACAAGGAAGACGTAGGACAGGAGGAGGCAGTGTGTCTGCGTGTGCTGATAACGACTCCGGTGGGGGTTTCCAGCCTGGGGCATCTCATCTGAACCTGGCAAAGGGTGAGAAACGTTCAGGCGAAATAGCAGGAAGAGCTGAGCTCCGGCCAAGCTGCGAGGACGGGGCAGTGGAGCCCAAAGCGAACCCCGAGAATGCTCCTTTTTTTTCTTTCTTGATCTGAGTATAGTCGACACATAATGTTACATTCGCTTCAGGTGCAGAACTTAGCGATTTGACACGTTTATACATGATGCTGTGTTCACTACAAGTATAGCTACCGTCTGTCTCATTACATCCCTATTACAGTCTCATTGACTATATTCCTTATGTTACTTTTTTTATTCCTGCGACTTCCTCATTCCATCACTGGAGGCCCGAATCTCCCTCTGCCCTTGACCTCTTTTACCCAACTCCTCCCGCCACAACCCATAGTTTGTTCTCTGTATTTAAGGTCTGACTCTGCCTTTTGTTTGTTTTTTCATTCTTCTTTTAGACTCCATTTGTAAGTGGAATTGTATGGTATTTGTCTCAGTCTGACTTATTTCAGTTAGCATAATACCCTCGAGGTCCATCTGTGTTGTCTCAAATGACACGATCCCATCCTTTATTACGGCTGCATAATATTCCTGCATGTGTGTGTGTGTGCGTGTGTGTGTGTGCGTGTGTGTGTGTGCGTGTGTGGTTACCGCATTTTCCTTACCCACTTGACTATTGATAAACACCTGAGCTGCTTTCATGTCTTGTCTCTTGTAAGTAATGCTGCAGTAAACATCGGGGTGCACGAATCTTTGCAAGTTAGTGTTTTCCCTGAGTGAAAACACCCAATAGTAGAGTTACTAGATCATATGGTAGTTCTATTTTTAACTCTTTGAGGAACCTCCATACTGTTTTCCACAGAGGCTGCATCAATGTGCCTCCCCACCAACAGTGCATGGCCGTTCCTCATGGACTTGGTTTTTTTGTTTGGTTGGTTTTTTTAAGGAAAAACAAAAATTCAGCGAATGTGTGCTCTCCTTGTTTTATAGAACAGGCGAGGTGGACCCGCACTTTCAGTTTTACTTATGTATTAAATAAGCACATGTAGCGCTTACTAGCTACCAGGTACTCTTTCAGAGTTTAGCCCCCAGGACAACCAGAGGTACTGTGATTATTCCCCTTTTGCAATGAAGAAACTAAGGCATGGAGGGGCTAAGTGGCTTGTTCACGTTGAGGACAGCCAGGATTGCACTGAAGGCAACCTGGCTTCCAAGTCTGTGCTCTTGCCCCTTGACTTGATTTTTTTAAGTGGATTTTATTTTTTACAACTGTTTTAGATTTATAGAAAAATTAAGGTAGTAGAGAAGGTTCTAATACTTTCCACGCCCTGTTTCTGGTCTTATAAGCATCTTACATTAGCATGACACGTTTGTTACAATTAACGAACTAATATCAATACGTTATTAATAAAAGCCCATAGTGTATTTGGATTTCCTTAGCTTTCACCTAGTGTCCTCTTCTGATCCAGGATCCCATCCAGGACATGGCATTATATGTCCAGTCCTCAGGCTTCCCTAGATCTCCTTGTTTGTGGCCTTGTTTCCTTGTTTTTGATGAGTTTGATGGTTCTGAGGAGTGCTGGTCAGGTGTTTGGGGAGGCATCTGATGATTTTTCTCACAACGAGACTCGGGCTCCACCCTTGAGTTTTGATCGCGACAACGACTTCTTGCGAAGCAGGTGTACACGCACCAGGAACATCCATGTTGGTCCCGCACTATTCGGCAGAACTCCACACGAGGCCTTTCCCTCTGGCGTATGTTTCTTCTCCGAAGGAAAAGGAGACTTCTGTTCTGTAGTTGTGCCGAGTTATCTGGTTGCAATGAAAAGAAATCATCTTAGCCCAGGCTCCCTGCTGGCGAGAGGCCCTTGGTCTATACCAGGCCTCAGATTTCAGGGTCACAGATTGCATTTGGTTCCCTCGGCCCCCCCTGCCTGGGCTTGTTTGTCACTGTTAAGGTTGGGGACCCTGAAGCCCAAGCCTCATGCATGGCCGGCTGCTTCCCAGCTCCCAACGCTGGGCTCTGTCCCTGTGACTGTTTATCTCCGCTGTCTCTGTGGAGGCATCGCCTCAGCCCTGCGTGAGCACCGCTGCAGAAGCCTCTCCACCACCCTGCCTTCCCCATGTGCTGTCCTGCGGGTGGGCCACCACCCCAGGCGGGAGGCCGCACCCCTAGACAGATCCTCACAGGCCAGCCTGGGGACACACCCATTTAATCTAACCGGGGACGACAACACTCATAAAGATGTTTACACACCAGAGAAGTGCTGGAGATGTGGTCCTGAGATGATAAAAATACACACAACCTTTTAAAACCATGGCAACTCACGAGGCAGGAAGGCTGCCCATTAAAAGGCGTTTAAAATATGGCTCCAGGCTCCAGGTCTGGAAACAAAGCAGATCAGGAAAACAGCTGGATGGAATAGAGTCCTGCCTGCGTCCTCACCCCCACCACGACCCCGGTGAGAGCCCCGGCGAGCCGCAAGCCCACCCCCCTGTGAGCGGGGAAGGGGTGTAGCGCGGGAATTTCCCAGCCACCTCCAACATGTGCAGCCCCCACTTCCAGTCTCTCCCGTCCTTCAGTCCAGGCGGTCAGGTAGCTCCCAGCTCATGGCTCAGGCTACCTTCCCAACCGTCCTCAGCCAAGGGCGAGTCACGGCCCTCCGTTCTCCACCTTTCGCTGCATCCACACCCTTTGCCCTGTGACTTTGCAGATCCCCTTGGAAGTTTTCCAAAGGGAACACTTCTCTGCCCTGAGACTTCAGGGCTTGGCTGGGGATAGTAGCAGACGTGACGCACACAGCACTTTGAGATGTGCTTGTGTGACGGGGCGCCACCTCTTAGGCCTCTGCCCTTGCTGTGAGAAGAACATGCCCCAGCTAGCTCGCTGGTCCCGGGAGGAAGAGAGACATGTGGCGTAGACCTGGCCCTGGCCCTGGAGCCCAAGCCAGCAGATCCCAGCCGACATCAGCCAAACCCCGCTGTCCTGCCGTGCATGGTTAGGGGCCCAGCGTTTCTAGCCGTGCGGTCCCAGCGATAGCTGATGGCTATACAAACCCACCCCCAAGCCCTTCTTGGAAACCTACACAGGAGGAAGGCTTCTGGGAAGAGGAGGCTTCATGGGAATCCCTGTCCCAGGAGACCAATTCCTTCCTGATGTGAGTCTCAAAAGTGATGTCACAGACACTGTGACTCACCTTTCCCAGAAGGCATTAGTGTGTTAGCAACAACAGTAATTAGCGTCCACCTCGGGTTTTATAGGCAGGAGGTGACTGTGACATGCAACAATCTTATGAGGTTTGGGAACAGCCGGGATTATATGTCCATTTTGCCACGAGAAAATAAAAAACAGACAAGGTACGTGACTCGCCAGGACAGGACCAGGGCAGCTGTCTGGAGCCAGAATGAGAGGAGTTCCTTATACCCAGCGGGAAGTCATAGGTGTGTGTTTTCATTTCATATAAAAGGGATACGTGCCGATTGTAGAAAAATAGGAAAGTACAGAAAACATAAAAGATGAAATTTCCAGGGGCACCTGAAACTCAGTCGGCTAAGCGTCTGACTTCGGCTCAGGTCACAATCTCATGGTTCACGGGTTCGAGCCCCTTGTCAGGCTCTGTGCTAACAGCTCAGAGCCTGGAGCCTGCTTCCGAATCTGTGCCTCCCTCTCTGCTCCTCCCCTGCTTGTGCTCAGTCTCTCTCTTTCTCAAAAATAAACATTAAAAATATTTTTTTAAAAATGAAAGTTCTCATTCTAGTATTTTGGTTCAATTCTCACTATTATTTTAAATGCACATGTTCATTATGTGTATTTTATGAGTTAGAATCTTACTGCCTTTATAAGAGTATTTCCCATAGCATTAAAAACTCTTTAAAAATATAGTTTTTATTGCATAGCATTATGTTCTGTGGACTTATTCTAATTTGTTTAAATGTTCTTTCTTATTGCAAATGTTTCTGATTTTTGTCATTAAAAACAATGTTTTGGGGAACATCTTGGCTGGTAGGGGAGATAATTTATGTATTTAGTGCACAGAACATGGCATGTGCTTAATAAATAGTTGCCAGTGTAGATATTTGTCTAAATTGCCAGTAACTCCCCTAGAATAAACGTCCAGGTGAACTCGCTGTTTTAATGAGCTTTAACGTTTTGTTCTGATGCATACCGTCCAATTGCTTTCTAGAAAGATGTCCCAGGCCACAGTACTTACGATGGTGTTATAGGTGCCCCTCCCAAGGCCGCCACACTGTTTTCTGTAAAACAAAGCATTGCTAATTTGGCAGGTGGAAAATAGTAGTTCATTGTTACATTTTTTATTACTCCTGAGGCTAAAAATCCCCACATAATTGTCAACCATTGGTAATAGGATGAGGGGAGGCATTTGGGGCAGGGCCTGGCCTAATAAATAGTTTCAAATGAATGAATTATCAGAGGTGGGCCACTCTGTGGGTATGAGGAGAATCACCAGGGCTGTGTGTCAAGGCCTGGAGTTGTTGAATTATTGTTTCCATAAATAAGGATCTATTCCTAGCCTTGCTCAGTTGAAAGTACTTTCAGATGAACAGAAGTCTGTGGAAGAAGTGAGGTTTGGGACTGTCCATCAGAGCGACTGGAGATGGCCAACTAGCCAGAGAGAACCCTGATGAGAAAAAGGAGCCCCTGGGGGCACCCGGGTGGCCCAGTCGATTAAGCGTCCGACTTCGGCTCAGGTCACGATCTCCTATTCATGTGTTCGAGCCCCGCGTTGGGTTCTGTGCTGACAACCCAGAGCCTGGAGCCTGCTTTTGATTCTGTGTCTCCCTCTCTCTCTGTCCTTTCCCCCCACTTGCGCTCTATCTTTCTCTCTCTCAAAAATAAATAAACAGAAAAAAAAAAAAAACAGAAAAAGGAAAAGGGGCCTCTGGTCAGCAATCTGGGGGCTGGGGCTGCTGGTGGCGTCCTTACTCCTTCGGCTCCTTCGCAGCCTCAGCACATGCTTGTGCAGACAGCTCTGTTCTCAGGGAGAAAGCAGGGGTGCGGGCTGCCTGCAGCCACCGGACTGGTGGAACTAGGTAACCCTCGCCGCGCTCCCCTGCTTCTCTTCCTCCAGGTCGGGCGGGGACCTCCTCCTTCTTGCCTTCTGCCTCTCTCACCCCAACCCAGAGCGCTCTGTAGCACCCAGGGGCCTGCACTGTAACTTTTCATTTATTTACAAGTCATGCGCTTCCTTGAGGAAGCTTCCTGAGGGTTTACTTATATTTCCTGCAACTCAGAGCGAGAATGAAAGAACGAATATACACCCAGGAACATCCAGAGCACACCAAGAATAAACTAAGGGCTCGGAATCGATTTGGGAGAAGTAGCCAGCGCTTCCTCTTTACTAATAGGTTTCATCGCAGAGTTCTTTTGGATTGGAGAAATTACAGCTCAGATGTTAGGCTCAGTGGTCGCCTGGCGTTCTGACATCACAAATCCCTGTGCCCCGAAGGTTTCTGGTTTTGTTCTGATTTGACTTTACACTGAGAGCCAAGTCTTAAGCAAAGCAGGTTATGTATTTTTTTTTTTTTTAAAAACCATCTGCCCGCTCTCCTTGAGGGCCATGGTTCTCAAACTGCCCAATGTCAGAATTGTCAGGAGTGCTTGTTAAAACACAGAACGCTGAGCTCCAGAGTCCTTGACTTGGAATTTCTAACGAATTCCCACTCGATGCTGATGCTGCTGGTCCAGGGACCACACTTTAAGAACGACTAGTCTCCGCGTTTTAGTCTGGCTCCTGGATCAGGTGACAGGCTGGCCTTCCCCCACGTCCAAGGAGCTGGGTGTTTGGCCCAGCTGTGCCAGGGCCCGGCTCTGTTGACCCTCACACCAGGCTTGCACTGCCTTTTCTTTGTGGTCTGCGTCGGTGCACTGGGACCTTCCAGCCGTGTTAAAAGGCCACCAGGGCCTAAAAGTTAGTGTAGCAGAATCTGAAACCTTATCAGGGTACCTACTAGCTTTTAGGAAAAGCACTTGAAGCGTCAGGGAAGAGACTTTTATGTCCTGGGAAAACCCCAAGCTCCAGGAGCCAAGCTTTGAAGAGGCGGCGGCAGCCAGGTGCCCCACCCACCCCTTCCTAAGGCCCAGGGCCTCCTGGCCGTCATCGGTGAGGGGCTCCGTGTGCTCTCCCCACTGAGACCACATCCTCTTTCTTTCTTGAGCTTTACAGGAGAAGGTGAGAAGGGCTAAGATAGGTGTTCCCCGTCACAATTCAGATAAAATCCAAACTCCTGACCGTGGCCTGCCTGCCACCCAGACTTCCCCTCCCTGCTCTCCGGCTTATTAGCTCCACTCTGAACCTCTGGTCTCCTTGCTATCCCTCCAACACCAGACTTTTCCCATCCTGAAGCTCACCATTCCCTCTGTCTGCCATGCCAAGGACCCAGATGGGACACGAGCGTGGTGGCTCAGGCATCCCCTATCCGGAAAGAGCTTCCTCTTCCCCCTCCAGAAAGCAGCCCCACTTCCCGCCCATGCCTTCGGTCCCTATCGTCAGAGCACCTGTCACCATCTGTCACCGTCTCCAGGATGTAAGCTCCATGAAGGCCACAACCTTGTCTGCCTTTCCCAGCCGCGTCCCCAGCACCTGTACCACGCCTGGCACTTCATACGTGTTCCGTAAGGATTTGCGGAATGAATCTGTGGCCTCTACCAGATATACCATGGGAGGTACGGTCTAGAATCCTTGAGTGGCATACCCCAGACCTCGATTCTAAAGTCCAGAATCTGGCTCTGGGTTTACTTCCTAACAGCTTGTTCAGGTGGGAAGACTCAGGATTGTAGATGAGGTTTCCTGTCACCACTATTGTCACTCTGGACAGAGCCCTCAACTTGTGTTGGCCTGACCTGCCTCACCTGCCAAACGGTTTGAGAACATTGGTGTCATCTGCCCCCAAGACTATCAAGGCTCAGATGAAGTAATTGCCGGGAAATTGCTATGCCAGGGAAAAGGCGTCGACAAATATGAGGTTTGGGGATGGTTATACTTCTCTGTGGCTTCAAAATCTGCACACGAAATTTAATTTCACACAGGCTCTTCATTCTGGTAGTTTTGAAATAATAAAGCATCATTGAACTTGTTCAGAAGCATAACGTAAGCCCACCACAGACTAAAAAAATCGAAGGAGTTACATTTGAAAAAGAAATTCTGGAATTTGAGCTCCTGCTAAGAGAGTCTTACTTGGTTGTTTCTCTGCCTTCATTTTCTGACCCATGAACACATGTGCCTGCTGTACCCTCCCCCCACTGAGGCTGCTGGGCTTTCTGCTTGGCAGTAAGGAACTTAAGTGTAGGTTAAAGAACAGTTTGGGGTTTGCATTCCCAATCCCAGCAACAGTTGAGGATCTTAAAAGGTGATTTTAGTTGACTTCAGACAAACGGCTGCATTGGAGAGATCTGAACCCCACCCCCACCCCCGCCATGTGGCTGAAATGCAGTCCCCCGTGGTTATGTGGCCTTTCAGCTCTCACCTGGTCAGGGATTTAAAGGACTAAAGTCCTCCTGGAGAAGCCCGTGGGGGCAGGGTTGCCAGTTAACTCTGGCAAATAAAAATAGAAGATGCCCCATTTCATCTGAATTTCAGAGAAGCAACAAATCAGGTTGTGTTATAAGCATATTCCACGAGATGTCTGGGACATACTTATGCCAAAAGGAGTCTGCGCTGTTTGTCTAAAGTGTGGTGGTAGCTTGCACCCTCTCTTTTATCTGGCCAGCCACCCTCGAGGGCCTGTTCTGATCTTCGAGTCCTCAGCCCTAAACTGGAGGGGGAGGGAGACTGTTCTTTTCCTAGCCTACTTTGCCCTGCAAATGAGAAATGTGTTGCTCTCGTTCTCCACTCCAATTCCTTTTCCTCCCTTCCCAGGGCCGGCCTGTTGGTCAAGGGCAGTAAGTGGATGTAACCTTAGGTAACCCATCTGCCTGGGCCGTTACTAAAATGCCGCCCACGCAGCCGCAGTCCTTGGAATCAGCAGGGCACTTCCCAAAGCGCGGATGCCAGAAAAATGCTCGGGTCCTAAGACGAACCGGGGCAGGCATGTTTTATAGATGTTGGGAGCATTTGATTCTTAGATAAAGGGCCTAGGAGACCCGGAACACTTCACTGAATGCAGAGCAAAACCCCTATGCCAGCCTATTTA